ATCTAACCTGGAGGAAGAATTCAGAAATTATTAGCTGGATCACTCATAGTTTCTTTTAGAACTCTTGAGTCATGTGCTATCCCTTTCCAACCTGCCTAGACAAATGTGAACACAAGGGCAAAATCACATATAGCAAGTACATTTTGAAAACATTCTCCTTTGCCTCTTCCTTTGTATGAAACTTGTTCGTCTGGTGGTATAACAGCAGAAATAAGAGTTCCATCAAGTGTACCCACCACTGCACCCTTTCAAAAATAAATATTTTAGTATAAATGTTAGAATTTTAAAAAGTTGTAAATTATTATATATCTTATGAAGTTAAAATAAAACGAAAAAATACCTTAAACATTCCTTTGAGCCAACGGTGATGACTTATGTGATGGACTGAATTCATAGTTGTTGGGACAATCATCTCTTTTGAAAAATGGAGCATAGCATATAATACTTCATGGAAGTATTTATGTATTGTTTGTGTTGGATGATTGAATCTTCGTTTCACAAAACGATTTCTTATGTTATGACTTAATGTTATGAGAAACATTGCCATCTTCTCTTCTATGGATACATAACGACTATCTTCAAGCCACCCTATATTTCTAAAATGACCACATAAACATATAAAAGCTTCTTTTTTCATCCTTAACATCTCTTAACAATGTCTTGGATTTCCATAAAGTATTTTATTTAAATATCCAGACCCACGAAGCAAACCATCAGTGTCTGGCTTCTGTCCAACATGTTTTTTCCTCAATATTTTGAATATCAAAGAAGTTACAACAACCTTCAATGTACGTTTCTGTTTTTCAGACAACATGCTGTTGGACAATATTAATAAAATCTAATCAGTCTAACATAAGACAATTTGACTTATATATGTCAGCTTCCAAAATAATTAACATTCAAAAATCACTACAGATAATTTCAACAAGAACAATGCCATCAATGCATGATATACTTAATGAAACTATTGCAAAAATTATAAAACAAATAAATTTAAACAATCTTTCACATTCAAAAAAGTCATAAATTCTTCCCATAAAAATAATACTCATAACTTTTAGTTATTCCTAAAATTCAAAGCAACTTTAGTTTCTTGTCATTCATTTCTATCCACGTCTTTCTAACTACTTCTGGTTTTTGACGTAATAACATCCACTGCTCCCTGTGTGCTTTACTCTCACAAAAAACACTACACGCAACAGAATACAATGGATCACTCATTTTAAAAAAGCTGCATCTCATCCAAAATATGATTGCATTCTTCTATACTTGGTCCATCGGCATTTTGTAATGTTTTAAGAACTTCAAATAGTTGTTCATCAAGGTCACTATGTTTACTTTTCTTTGGACGTTTATTGTCTTGTTTTGTCACATCCTTTGGTGAAGAAGGTATCTCAACAGATTCAAAGTCAAGATTAATTGGTATTTGTGACTGCGAGCCGACCATATCCGTTGGCAACCCTTCCTTCGATGGACCCCATGAATTTTTTCCAGTTACTCTAAAACTATCAAACAAAACTTTTAACTCATTTGCATACTGTAGTCCATTATAACGAAATTGCTTTGCATCTGGATTAGTCTGTAACATAAAAATATAAAAAAGCTCAAGAATTATTTGTGTTATAGTTCTATTAGAATAATTAACAATGAATAACGTAATACCTTTATATACTCGTCCCATTCTGTTGAACTCCAATTTATAGTATTTGTTTCTCGATCATAACCATTTCTAGTTTTAGATATTATTTTAGACCATATTCCATATTTTGTTCTTAGATATTCCCACTGATTCTTCAATTGTTTCTGAGAGAAGTCAACATTTTTCCGCTCCTTTAAAGCTACCCTCATATAATCCCAAGATTCTTTTTTCAGGCTACCTCCATTTCTTTCTTTATCAGATGATTTTTGCAGACACAAATCTATAAAGATTTTAAGCAAATCTGGATTCTTCCAATTTGTTCTAGCACCATCACTACATAACCGTTTTTTAACAAAATATCAGTTTATATGGTGTTGTTTAACATTGTCAAATTATTCTCGTGACCCACTAGTATACAAAAAAATTGATGATTACAAGAATTGAAGAACACAAGACAATTAACCAATAACCAAAAAAAAAAAAGAGCAACAAGATATTTAAGGTTTGTTTTTCACACACCAAGACACATCAATACTTCTCAAATAAAACATATTCAGAACCTCAAATCACACTGTATTGTCAAAATTTTGGATACAAACACACTTGTATATTTTCTTTGAAGCAACAAATCAAACTGGCAACATGCAAACAAAAAAAAAAGAATCCCAAAATTAAACAAACTTAAAACAACAAAAACACACTCAATAACAAAAACAAACAGCACCACCAGAACAAAATAAAACATGTGGACCAGAACAACTATGGTATGAAAAAATAAAGTATCAAAAGTCATCCTCTGGTAGACTGTTGCAAGTATTTTGTTAGAGTAAATTCCTTGGAGAACTCAAGCAAATCTAAAGATAAAGGTGTAATTGATGGATAAGAAAAACATTAATTACATGCCTTGAAAAATTGTCCTATTGTTAAGACTAAAGAATTGAAACTTATTGACCCAAATTGTTCTTTGCATCCTGCATGTAGTTAGATCAATTCCTTTGACATTCTACATTCTCAGTGGTCCTCAAGATGCAAATTTACAGCTGCGTGTTTGTGGGTGAGGCTGTTGGTGATGGGTAATGGATGTTTGTGTTGTTTGTCGGTGAGGAGGATTGAGGTTGATGGGTAGGCGATGATTAAGGTTGATGGCTAGGCGATGATTGAGGTTGGTTGATGGGTGTTTGTGTTGCTGTCGGTTACCGCTGAAGGTGGGACGGCAGTGGCTTGTTGGTTGGGCAGTCGGTGAAATTTTTTTTTCCTCGGTTGGGCAGTTGGTGGATTTTTGTCTGTTGGTTCACGTTTGTTCGTTCACGTTATTGCTTGTGTTGTTGTATTAAAAAGAAAAGAGGAAGAATGAAGGAAGAAGATAAGAAGAACATACCTGGGTTTGTTGGATGGCGCTGGCAAAGGCAACGAAGAAGGTTGAGATTGTGGAGAAGACGCAGAGGCGATGAAGGAGATATGCGATAGGGTTGTGAAACTATTGGGGTAAATTTGTCAAATAAAATTTTATTAAAAAACCTAGTTGTTGAGCGTATTCAGTCTTCAATATTAAGTAGGTAAAGAGCTACTTAAAATTTTGCCTTGCATTTAGGTGGCACTTATTTTATTTAGGAGTTGTAATATTGAGTTATCAAACGAGCTTAATTCATTAAGCACTGAAAGTGTTCAGTTTCAATACTTAAGTTAGGTTATCAAACACACCCTTAGTTTTAGTATTAATCAAACATGGTGGGAGTCGAACCCACATTTACTGTCCATAAAGGTTAGCATCTTTCTATTTAGACGATGTGATTATGTTAATTGATTATTTTTAATATGTAATACTGTTCAATATTAATATCTTGTCTATTTAAAATATGTAAATGCTTATTATTTTAGTTGTATTTAAATATTTGGTATTTATAAAGTTAAAAATTGAATATTTAGGAGCAATCAAAGTATCAAACTAAAATATTTGTTTATTTTTTATGTTGTTTTCTTCGCTTCTCGCTTAGGCCCTAAGAGACTGGTTCGATTCGGTTCGTTTTACGCCTTAAGTAACACTGTGCTGAACAGATTTCACTGAAAACACTATTGCATAGGAAGTTATTTTTCTATTTGATCTCTAACTTGAAGAAAGAGAGCAACATCTTTTTTTAAAAAAAATTTTTTAACAAAATTCTGATGGGATTATTTTTTCTCTAAATTGAATGACTTATTCCTTCTGTTTTCTTCCTTTGGTAGGCTAGCCACATGGTTTAAAGTCGCGGTATCGGTCGTTAACTCGGAGGGCACTGATACACATCGGTTGCGGCGTCTCGGTGCAGTGTCGGCCGATACGCTCAAAAAGCTAAATAGAAACTCTAAAAAAATTTGAAAAAATCATAAACAATTTTGCAAAATATAAACATCATCATTCATGTATCATATGCCCACAATAAATCTAAAAACACATTAAACATAATTAAAATGAAACATAAGGGTGTCATCGAAAATATTGATCATTATCAATATTCAACTTATTGAAATTGGAATATTGGTATATCTATTTATTACAATAGATTTAAAAAGTACCGATGTTTTTTAGGATTAAAAAATATTGATATTTTTTATTTTTAAAAAATATTGATGTATTTAATCATTGCATTAAATATTTTAATGATCTATCAAAGAGTAAATTTACTCCAAGTAAACTTTGGCAAAAAATAAACCCAAAAATCAATTACCAATAAATAAAAATAAATTAACCACACTAAAATAAATTAAGAAAATTAAAAAATAATGGGAAAATTACACCCAAATCCTCTGAGGTTTGTCACTTAATCACTTAGACCCCTTGACAAGAAAATATAATTGTATACTAATTAAATTTTTTTTAAGAAAAATTTTAAATTTTTATTTCAAGAAATTATACAATAGAACATAAATTTTAATTATAAAATTTAAAATATTTGATATCCTATCTTTGATTGAAATATTTTTGGTTTATGAATGTAATTTATTAACAGATATATTTAGAGCGCGTACAGTTTTAGGGGTTTGTACATAATATTTCAAATATTAGAGGTCTAAGTGATTTAGTGGCAAATTTCAAGGGGAGTGAATGTAATTATCCCAAAAACAATTAAACACCGACAACATAGAGTCTTTAAAAGACTGTTTGAGACTGGTCCTTCAGAGTTCAGCGCTATGCATCGATTGATCGATCAAGAGAGAGAGAGAGAGAAATCTGAGAGTGGATTTGAAGAACCCACCGGCGATCACCGGAAGACGGCTAGGGTTGGAGCTGTTGAGTTGGTCTTCTACAATTCTACTTCTCTATCTGTCGCCACTTGTTTGCAGCAAAGAAGATCAGAAAAAAAAGTAAAAAAAGAAGAAGAAGATGAAGCGGTATGGAGATTTCTCTGATCTGTATTCAATTCTACAGGTATGTCATACAAATGCTTACAATCTTTGTGGCAATAGGCATTTGATTTTCGGACTTGTTGAGGGATTTTAACCTTTTATACTTGTGTGTCTTGAAGTTCTTCATCTTTTTCCTTTGTATTTTGGATTCTTGCTATTTGTTTAAGATTTTGGGGATTTTTCACAAGATTCGATCATACCAGCCCGATTCCGCTATGAATCGTCCTATTCATACCAAGTTGCTCCGATTTGTGCTGATAGGTCTGAGTCTAACTGAGATATCGGCGAGTCAAGTAAAAATCAAAATTTTTGCATAATGTGTATCGATATCGGATTGGTAGAGGCCGAGTCGGATACGACTCAACCGAGTTGTATCGGACTCGGCCAATACTTTGAACCGTAGCCAGCCATCAACTCTTCCCTTACTTTTGTTTTGGCAATACTTCTGCCCCTCGAGTTTGAGTGAGATATCGCCGAGTCAAGTGAAAATCGAGATTTTTGCATAACGTGTATCGATATCGGATTGATAGAGGCCGAGTCGGATACGACTCGACTGAGTTGTATCGGATTCGGCCAATACTTTGAACCGCAGCCAGCCATCAACTCTTCTCTTACTTTTGTTTTGGCAATACTTCTGCCCCTCGAGTTGCTGTTGATAAAGAATAAATATCTTAATTAATATAAGGGTGCAAAACAGACACTTCCTCCTCTGGTCTTTTTCTCAGTGTTATAAGTAGCGAGGAGCTTCCTGTGACATGCTAAATTTAATGCCACATCAAAAGAGCCTTCATGTAGTAGTTTATTAGACTTTGTCATGTCTTCATGACTTTTGAAATTCGACTTTCGTTTCTTTGAAGAGGTTTAGGAGAGTAAATTTTTAGGCCTAACAGTTAAGTGAGCACATTAAAGGATGGTCTAGAAAAATTTGGGGAAGGAGTAATATGTTATGGGAGCAGCACTTCTTCCAATCTTTTGGTCAATTTAGGAAGCATGAAACAAGAGATATGCGAAGGGATTGACGTTGAATTGGATGTGGTGTATGCTATTTGTAATTTCTTTGTTGGTAGGTGTTATATGTTAAAAAGTGAGAGATGACTTTCAACTATTTGCTTCTTCACTGTTAGCTTGACTCTGGAACTGTGTTCTATGTTGCTTTGCTTTGTCTTGGTTGAGTAGGTGATACTAAGGTGGGTTGTGATTTTGTTGTGTGGTTTGTAATTTGAAGTAGTTGTTAGGAAGGAGCCTTGAAAGCACTGGGATGTGGCTCCTATTTGCCTTATGTCAGACTTTGGACAGGTAGGAGGATGAGGTTTTTTGAGGAGGTGGAGTTCCCTGTTTTAGTTCCGTTTTGTTTGTTGAGTCTTTTGGGAAATGAGTGCAGATTGGTTAATCACATGCAACTTTGTCTTTTTATTTGTGGAAGATTTGTAATGGTCCGTTTGGTAGGAGAGATGGAAAAGAGGATGGAAAAGAGGAGGAATAAAATTTTCCATCCCCAATGGAAAGAAACACTTTTTCACTTTTTTTTGTTTGGTATGATGGATGGAAAGGTGGAAAGATTGATTTTTCATTGTTTGGTATTAAAGGAAAAGTAAAAGAAAAGAAAATGAATATAAATTAAATTTACCATTATACCCTTACATATAACAAGATTTTTTTATTGAATATACACTTGTAAACAAATAGTCACGAGGATTAAAAAAATAGTAATGTTATTGAGACTTAAAAAATTGATCTAATTTGACTTAATTATGTGTCAATGATGTGGTCTAATAGTTTTGTTGTGACTGTAACTCTTGCACTTTTTTCATTAAATTTCTATCACTTGATTCATTATTATGTCATTTTTTTAGATCCCAATAATATTACTCATAAAAAAATAAAGGAAAGAAAGTGGGCAAAAAACCTTGTAATATCTTAGAAAGTGTAAAAAAATGTACTATTAAAACAACCTATTAAGCAAGTCCATTAAAACTTGAGCTTCAAATCAATTAATACTTCTCATTTACACGTGGCTAATATCTGGTAGAAGTATTTCAATGATAGGCTTAATAAAGTATTATTCATCTGGACATTTGTTTTGGATGTTGTGCGTACTTTTGAAAAAACAATGATGTAAAAAGGGTAAAATCGTAAATTAACTTATCTAACAAAAAGCTGGCCTTTCTCTCTCCAATTTTCCGCCCAACATTGGACGGCTAAGAAATGGCGGGCGGAAGGGATTTATTTTCCACTGCATTTTCCTTTCCACAGCCTTTTCCTTTGGAACCAGACAGGTGAAACACTTTCCTCTCCCCCCATTTTCCATCCCCCCTTTTCCATCCACCCATTTTTCCTTCATATGAAACAGACTGTTAAGTCTTTAGGAAGAGTAAAAGGGCCTTCGCACGTTGGGATTGTGTGGTTATGAACATATTCCAGTTAGTATACTGCAGACGAGAAGATGGTAGAATATTTAGTACAAAAGATGCGTATGGAAATTATATAGTGTGAAGGTCTTGGCTTTATCTATGGGGTTTAATAACTAATGAATTTCTGGATTTCCTTTTCCTCTTTATTCATCAAATTGGAATGTGATATGTGCTTAAAGGGGTTAAATTTGTTTAGAACTTCTTGTATTGTTATGTTTTTGCCCTCCACTTTACTTTAATAATTGTTGGATTCCTGGTCCACCATGTTTATTATTAATGGAAATTAGGTGTCTTATAAAAAAATGTGGCCACAGATAGCATCATTGACATATTCATTCTTTGCAACTTCTACAGTGATAGTGTTTGATGTCTTGGAGTAAATATTATTTTCTGAATAGTTTCGAAACTAATACCAGCATTTCAATATATGCTGATGTTTGAAAGCATTATTTTCTTCTGAGTGTTTTTTTCCCTTTTTTTGGTCTGCTTTAGAGGATCTTATTTCTTATTTCTTGTTTCTTGTTTCTATGTTATAATTTTTTATTTTATGAAGTTAAACATAGTGGTGTTTGAGACATTGAGAACTCAACTTTTAGATGTCTCCTGCTCTAGCTGTTTAGTATGTATACCATTTATGAATTTTTGAAGGATATCTTGTTATGACTACGTCTCTTGTGATCTACAGTCAGATACTGCTAGCGTGAAAGTCCCAGAGCTTGACTTGGAGCTTACCAGTGGCACGTTGGGTGGAATTGTGACAACCGTTGAAGGTTTGATCAGGAAGATTAGTGAAAGTGAGTGTATTTGTTTTCCTTATTAATTATTTTTTTCTGTAATATTTATGCAGAAGCTGACAATTTTGTTTACAAGTCATTCATTTTTTATATCTATTTTCTGTGACTAGAAGATAAGCTGGTTGGATGGATTGCTTGTAATTGATATAATCCTCTTTCTAAAGGTTTAGAATGTACATGTGACAAAATGTACAAAAATGATGATGATGTCACATAAATATGTTCTAGAACTTTGTTGATATCTCATACTCCTTACAGTGATTGCTGCACTATGCAGTCATATTAGGTGGATGAGGAACTTGATTCTTCTGGTAGGATGGAACAAGCCTCTAATAGAAGCACTATGCAGTCATATTAGGTGGATGAGGAACTCGATTCTTCTGGTAGGATGGAATGAGCCTCTAATAGAATGAAGGTTGTGATATTCACTGTTACCAATTTGTGCTGCAGGTGAGGACGTAGGGGCGGTGAAGTGTGTTCTAGGTTGCCACTTTGTGGTTGTAATGGAATCATGTAGGAGAGGATGGATATTATGAGGAGATTTTCTGAAGGCCAGGTGGGGCATGGCAACCAACACACAGCATTAGTGGGGAGCAGGCTTTATCATTATGTTTATGGACAATGTAAAGTTCTTGCTTGTGCCTGGATAGTGGAGATTATTGGAGCCTTATTCTTGTTTGCTTGCTATCCAAACTTGAAGCTTAGAAGCCTGATCAATAGGGATAGACTGGATGGGTGCTTTTTTTTTTAAGAGAAACAAAACTTCCATCTCATGGAACGGAAGATGTAAAAAGAATTACAGAAAATGGTCGATAAGAAATCCACCCAAAAAACAAAAATACAAAGAGTGGGTGCTATAGCATGAGCTCTTGTACTTTGTTTTTGGACCAGGGAGCTCTTGCACTTAAATGTCTAAGTTTTGGGAGGGGTTGATGAAAAGAAGGGGCTGAGCCCAAGCAATTGTAGACCGGTTGTGTTGCTTAGAGGGCAACTGGGTGCATGAGGATTGATGGTAGATGACAACATGTGCACTTAGAGTTGAAGAGGAGTTAACTATGACATACTGAACTTCCTTGTGGCCATGTATTTGTATAATTTTAATTGTAGAAAGTATGGTTGAAACTGGTGCCCTGTTTATAAAAGGTGGGGCTGCTAAGCAAAGTACCTTGGTTTTTATTTCATGGCGGGAAGGGTTATTATTTAATGCGAAAGCCACAGTGAAGTGCTAAGGTCTCCTAGGGCAGTTTTCATTGAAGCAAGGCACGTGTTGGAATTAAGCAATTATGGGAAACTAAGCCATAAGACGGTTGAAGGCTCCAACAGAATGAACAGATTGCAGAAGTACTGAAATTTAGTTAACAGTGGTAAATAACTAAAAGCGATTAAACAAAGCAATAAATCAATTAAGCAAATTATGTAATCACACAATAAATAATTAGTTATAAATAAAGAAAGAGAAAAAATAAAAAAGTGTATATAAATCAGAGAAAAGGACGAAAGAAGAAAGGAGAAGGTTTAAAATAAAGAAGTCTGACTCCCGCAAAAACCAGAATGTCTCTTTTGAAGTTTGACAAAAGCATCAGAGTGGGCAGTTGGAATAGTCCGGAAAATATCTTCTTTCTACTTCAAAATTCGGCTCTCTTTCATTGTGTTCTCTTTGGTAGTTTTATGCCTTCAGTCACTTGATTCCCTGGTAGGATTTAGTCTTTTCTATTGGGGCTTTTTCGTGGCCCAGATTATATCATCACATGTCAGGTTTGAGGCGTGCAACTTTTGTGCCTCGCCTCATCTTTTGTGCATTCAGTGTTGCTGGAAAGTAAGGTTGTACATCAAATTAAGCTACTGAGGATTTGCTTGAGATTAGCTCGGTTTGTAGCTGGCTGTACAATGCTCTTGAAGCTTCTATTTTTTATATGCTTGCCTAGAGTCTGTTCAATGACTGATCAGCACTGTAGAACATATGGAAAATTTAGTTTAATTTGAGATTGGCTCAAGTAGAAGCTCACTAGAACCAAGGGTGGAACCAGGCCTTTGTTCTAGTGGGTTCATTGAACAATGATTAGTAATATCAGTTGCTTCCTTCTGAGATATATGGAAATAAGAAAAATCTATGTATATTGATACTATTTCAACTTCCAAGTTACAAGTTATGTACACATATACATTGACACACATGTTGACACTTTTGGTTTTCGTTTTAGTCAGGAATATGAAGTAGACTCTGTAAATGAGGTGGCTTTTTTATGTGTTTATTTGTTTCAAGTTTCAAGATAGAAAAGGGTCATTTAGAAATTTTATACCCCTTTTTCTTCCTTGATTCATTTTCCCTCCCCCAATTCTATCCCACATGCTTCTGTATTCGAATATTTGCCACATTTATGACCCTGTCTTTGAGCATTCTAGTTGACCAAAACCACCAAAAGCTAAAAATGATATATCAGATGCATCTTTTTCTGTTGCTTTTTAAAAAAAATATAAAATGGAAATTGGTTGGATGTTGTCTGTCATGTACCGCTGGCATATGTTTTACAATTGTACCCAATTGTGTGTACATGGGTTTCAACCCATTTTTTGGTGCCTTATAGTTGAATTATTAGTACGTCAGTTGAATTTGAATTCTTACTCCTAAATTTGCCACCATATGATTGTGCTGATTCAACTACTATGTTGGTGCTTTTGGTTTTTCCTTTGTTTGTTCTTAAGTTATGGACTGGGTCAGCTCAATATAATAACTAACATAATGTTGTAGAAAATCGGGATAAACATCTAAAACGTATTTGTTTCTTGGGTTTTTTTTTTTTGTACTTGAGCTAATTCAATTATGGATTAGCCAATTACATTTTCTTTTGCAAAGTTGAATGATATTTTCCATTGTTTAATGTGCAGATCTTGAGAGAGTACATGGATTTACTTTTGGAGATAGTCTTGATGATTTTAAGAGAAGCAAGTGGCTCGACTTTCAAGCAAGGCTTAACAAGGTGCAATATTGTCACTTTAACACTAAACAATCCTAATATAAAATGCCCATGTAGCCAGTGCTTTCAAAATGTGCAAAATAATTGTTATCACCATATGTTCTGTTTATATAAAACAAGAGAATGATTGGCCAAATCTTTTGTTCTGCTATCATCAGTGGAATAGAACAAATCTTTCCTTTTGTATTATTTTTATGAACCCCTTCACGACTATCAGTCAAGGTGATTTTTTTACCAACAATGGATCACGCCAATGTAACTTTGGTTGGGTATTTGTAGCATGAAATTTATGCCAATAAAATCTTCCTACCACCTTGATTGTCCCAAGATCAGTCATCCAAGGTCTTCCATGTAAAGGAGAGCTTGTATCACACAGTTGCTTTATATGGTTGATTGGGATTTCCACCGAGTTGTCATTTTTTTGGTATTAGATGCCTCTAATTTGATATTAGAGTTTGACCTCAGATGGCCAATAGGCAAAGTCTCATAGTTATTTGAAATTTCAAGTATGCATGTTGCTTTATCAACCCCCATTCGAGTTTGGTCACACTTGAAAGATGGTGTAAAGAAAGCTTGCCATTCGAAAGATTAGGGTCACTTGAGATAGGTTTATATAGAATTTTACCAATTAGCCAAGGTTCGTACTCTAAATTCACAGGATCCTGACTAATGAAAATTCATATAGTGAAATAAAATCAGGAATTGCAGTTCTTACCTGTTGTTTATGACAATTTTTTTGAAACATTAACTAGAAATGCAGGGGCAGAGAGACAAGCAAGAAATGTGAGAAATATTAGAGACACTCGGAGCTTTAAAACCTCAAGGAGAATAGAGTAGTGAGGAAAGTAAAGGAGAAAAGTCTAAATCCATTCGGCCTTTGAATCCACTAGGAGACGAATGGAGGTGATAGATATGGAGCCAATGGCTCTGCCAAGTACTTCATATTTTTTGGCCTTTTTTTTTTGCTTGATACCATTGAGGCCTATTTATTAGGCCTTGCCATATGGCCCATACCTTAAAATATATCAACATTATGACCCAACCCTTAGCTCGTCATAAAACATTACCCTTTATTTTTTTTCTTTAATGTTGAACTCTTGTCATCACCGTGTCTTGTTAGGGAAACTCATACTCGGGTTTCGCAATGGAGAAATACACATCAAGCCTTTTAGATCCCAAATATCGTTGAAGGTCAACTGGTGTGGAGAAATAAAGAATTTTGTAGTTGGAAGTAGTGTTATCAGAATTGGACTAGACCGACTGGTTGGATCGTAAATCAGGCCCTAAAGCGGTCCGGTTCTTGAGTTCGACCGGTTATGTAATCAAATCGCCTTTGAACTGTTAAAATGAATGATTTTGGATAAAACCTGTAAACTAGATGGTTTGTGCAAACGGGACGGTTGGAGTTTCAACTGATATTAAAAAAAAATTTTTTTTTGGATAATTTTGTCCTAAACCAATTCCACTCCAGTCAAAGTGCTTTGGTCCTCCTCTTCTCCGAGCAACGAAGAGGAGGTGAGCCATGGGAGATATGTGAGGTTTGAGGTTGAGAAATGCATGTAATTCGACTTGGGTGAAATTCCCCCCTCTACGCGTACATGTGTGTATGTGTGTGTGTGTGTGTGTTTTTTTTTTTTGGGGGGGGGGTGATGAACTGAATATTTATCGGGGGCTCCTTTGTTTTCTATTCTTCCTATTGGGATTGGCGTGAATTGGAATTAAAGAATAGGTTGTTGCACATAATGGTGAATTGCATGCATTGTGGACATGTTTCATGTTTTTTAGCTAAATTATTATATTTTATAATATATATACATATTTTATTATATGAACGGTTTGACAAGTTAACCCAACGATTGAACCAGAGAACCATTCGATTTGATGATTGGCCCGATTTTGATAACAATAGTCGGAAGTAGAATCTTGAATCTTTTTTGTGTTTGTTTCCTTTTATGGATCGAGTGATGTATATTTAGAAGTTGGCTAAGAATAGTTGAGTAGAAAAAAGGGGTGAAGAATAGGAAGTGAATAGAGATAATTATGAAGAAATTGATGAGAAAGCTGGTGAAATTAGGGAGGAAAACCAATATTGATTGTTAAATGAATCATTAATTGAAACTCTCCAATGAATGTTTCACGAATCCCTTTATATAGGAAACTGTAAAACCTTGATGTTGAGTATTTTTTTTGAAATATTAATATTGCGTTGGAGATGTGGTAATGGATCATGAGAATGAAATGACTATCCCTAAACCAAACCTAATATGATCAATGTAAGATTAAGCATTTTCAAATATGAGATGGTATTACCTATTACCAAACGACTCGTCGGTAAGTCCAAATCCGCTGGGTCTGAAGTCCCGCCACCACTTCATCCATGACTAGCACCACCACCACTGTCACCCATGACTAGCACCACCACCACACCTCTATTACCACCACCTCATTTCTATAGCCACCACCCCGTCCACCATTATAATTGCCAGATTTGCCATGGGCCCAGGTCTTGAGTTTGGATCCTTGGGTCTTTGTTTAGGGTCCCTAGTCATAAGTTTCGGGGCCCAGTTTGGTTGCCAGAGTTCGGGTTTTAAATCTTGGTTCGAGGTCAGTAGTTCTTGCTCCATGGTCCTAGGCCTTGAGTCTGGAATTTGGGACTGAATCTAGGGTGCCATTTGGAGTCTTATGTATGGGCTCTGGGTATGTGGTACTAGGTTCGAGCTTCCAGTTTCAAGGTTCATGGTCCTAGGCCTAGAGTATTGGATCCGGGGTTACAAAGTAAAGTCGTGATCTCAATCGTGGTCCTAAGTTTTGGATCCCTAGTGTAGGTTTGTGGCCCTAAGTTTGAAGTGCGAGACTGGGTCCAAGGTGCTTAGTTATGGGGTCCAAGGTGCTTAGTGTGGGGTCCATGGTCTCGAGTGTGGTCCGAGGTTTGGGATCGAAGAATTAAAGAGAGTTTAAAATTGTTGTTATTATTTTGATTTCTCAGGAGTATTTCAAATGGATTTTGGTTTCATTTTAATAAAAAGACTAATTTGCCCAAACTTTGGAATGAATTATCAATTTAATCATTCAATTAATTTCAATGTTGCTAAACATTGAAATAGTAATGTACATTTAATTTCATTCTCAAGTTACTTTCATTCCTAGTTAAAAGCACTACTGCGAATCAAACACAACAAAAAAATATTAGATTTCTTGTAACTCTGCCCCCAAATTTCTAATTTAATAAATAGCAGACACTAATTCCTATGTTACTAAAATAAATTTTATAAGTTCAAGTTATAAAGTTATCCTAAAATAAAATATTATAGTCACAACTTCAATTCTAAGCTTCTATTGAATTCCTTTTTGTCCCAATAAATAGGTTTGATTTTTGATCGATAGTGGGTCAGTTATGAATCCGGTCATGGATTGTGTTTGACTTTTGAGTCTGAGTTTGGTTACTCTTTCAAAAATGGGTCGAGTCAAATTTGGATTTTAGGAACCTCGTTTTTCGTTCTTCATGCTCAGTTCCGGCCTTAGTGTCATCCTCAACAATGATTTTGACTCTCTAAAGATGTTGTTCAATTGTAATGTTCTGCCTTGGTTACGATTTTAACGAGTGGTTGTTTGTCTTCTCCATCTGTGCAACTGATCCAACATCAAATCCTAGGCTCCAAAACTTCACCGGTGGAAAACAATGGCCCCAATGGAGTTGTTGGAAGTCGTCGGTGGGTGGGTGATTAGAAAAAGGCTTGCTTGAACTCAAGTAGGGTTGGTCGGTTCAGATCTGATCAGATCTGCCTTTCTGTCTCCTTTTTTGTTTCCTTTTCCTTTCTGATTGTTTTTGGCAGGTTTGAAGAGATAGGGCTGTCTGCAATTGCACTTATTAAGCTTAGGCGTTAATTCCAAACGGATTCAACTTCGGAATTCCAAACTTATAAAATCATGAAGTTCAGCTTTTACTCATTCTTATATGGTGTTATTTTGGATGCATTTGACATGAAATTGTGGGGTAAAGAGGCAAGACACTGGAGACACCAAAACCACCAGGTGAGTCGAGAGACGGATGAAAAAAGCAGAGAAAATCCTTTATCCATTAGGGACATCTATGAAGCACGAAGGCCTCATCGTGACTAAGTATCTGATAAGTGGATGCACCTCGAATATGGCTGGATATGTCTTGGACACTTTTAATTTTAGTATATGTTTGGCATGCTGCAAGGTACGTGGCATGATACGTTTAGGATACTGTAGGGATACTTCAGGGCTAAATATATCATGTTTTATCTATTTAAAAATAGGCCATTGAAGTAAATAAATCTTTTTTGGAAAAAAATATGAGAGTTTGTTCAAGAAATAAAATATAATTTTGACCAAAAAAAGTTGACCTATTTAGTACATTATTTCATGAACATGAATCTCTAATACCATGTCATTACTCTTTCATTTCATATTTTATCCATCTAGATGTGAAAGCAAGAGATTTTTGAACATGAATCTCTGATAACATGACATTATTCGAAGTTTTTTACATTTAAATTATTGATTTACATTTTTCTAGTCATTTTCAAATTTATAGATCTATTTTTATAGTCATCACCAAAAATTGATTCATGTTCACTTTAGGCTTGTTTGGTAGACGTATTGTACGTGGATTAAATATTGTATTGTACTATTATTTATTTAATTGGGCACAATACTTTGTTTGATAGATAAATTTGATTCTGTATCAATTTGAAAAAACGTATACTTATCGTATATTTTTGTACTATAGATCTGTATTATAGAGGTACTATTATAATCCCACAACTGATAAAACCAAGATGTTATCAATGTAACAAACACTGTTCGAGGGTATTTTTTTTTTAATTCATCATTAATACCATGAAATAATGTCTTAACCAAATAACTACTATCCAATGCTTAAGTTGTGTATTGTCAAATATTAGAGAAAATTACGTACTATTCTAATACCTTATTTAATCTTGTCTTTTATCTATTTGTGTTGTATTAGACTTTATTATTTTATCAAATCCATCAATTTTTAATACCGCCACCAAACGAGGCCAGTGTCTAGATATATGGAATATATATGAAAGTACGTCAGTGTTGAACTTGACATTTTTTCTGTCCAGAGGTTGACTGCAGATGTTTTGAATTTCCTTAATTGTATCCATTCCATATGTGGATTAATTTTCTTTTTTTGTTTTGTTTTGTTTGGGGTGGGGGTTCTTGGTAGGTGGGATAATCTTTGTGATTTTCTGAACCATCCATGGCTGTTTGAAAGTGAACCTGGAGCATATAACCTCAGGGAATGAAACCACATATATGTTTTTGTGAGGATTTAACAGATGTAGTTATTTTGTGTCTATTGCATACTTGAACTTCATTTTCCATTAATTCAAGTTTTTAAATTCTACAGCTTCTGAATGTGGCAGAGCGTTGGACTTTAATCATTGATGATGCCCTAGCTAATTCTTTTGTTGCTCCAGCAACTGATGATATAAAAGATGACCAGCAGTTAACATGTTAGTATTTCTTCCTACAAGTCTGTGCTATGTGTTTTGTTGAAATGTACTTGGGAGTCTTGCATCCTATGACTCTGGAGGAAGGTTCTTTTTGATTTTAGTTTTATGTTAGAAAAATAGTGTAGCTTTTGACCATTATAGGATCCACACCTTTAGAGAATGAAACCGGTGTAAAACATTCTCATTTTTGTAAATCTGATAATTTTTCCATTTTGGGGAAGTTCTGGTAGACACTCTTTTACAACACAACAATGAACACTGAAGAGGATGCGGCTGCAGCTGCAGATTATGTGCTCTACAAATTAGTGGCATGGCTTTCGTAACTGGCTTAAGCTTGTTTCATTTGATTGTACTTAAACTGCCATTGACACCAGATTGAAGCGTCACCTTAGCTAGTATATTACCCCTTATAATCACATATTACATTAGCTTCTACATTTTCATTCGCGATTACATCTGATAGAGCTAGTGCTTTGTTTTATATGCTGGTTTTGCATTGATAATGGCAGCTGAAGAATATGAGAGATCCTGGGAACAGAATGAGGAATTGGGTCTCAATGATATGGACACCTCGTCTGCTGATGCTGCTTACAACTCTCTGGATTGGACACTAAACGAACGAACAGATGGGTGACATTCCTTTTTGTATTTTGATGATTCTTTTTCTGGCTGCACTTCTTCAAGTTATATGGAGGAGAGAGCATGTGTGCCTGGTTCTCTTTTTTGTGCACTCAGTTTGTAACAGTTGTTTAACTATAACCAGTATGCAATCGGCACTCTTTGGGTCTATTGTGTCAGGGGTGTCGTCGCTATTTTGAGCAATATTTATCTTGTTGGCCTAAAGAGGGTTATTTATATTGTTAGCCATGGTAGCATAAAAGCTGTAAGGCTGTATTTAAAGAATGCCGCATAACATGGTTTTGACAGCAATTTACGGGGTGTTATCCTGTCATCATTATTCGATCACTCACTATCATTTCGTTGGCAGGGGTTGATGTCGAACAGAGTGTGGGTTTGGATTCGTCTTTGATCTTGACCCAATCTTGTAATAAGCTCTAATATAATGGGCTTGCATAGTGGGTTCTTGTGTAATCATTTTGAATCATCCAACCTTAAAATCAATAACATTTTTTGGAAGCTTTTTCTTTTTTCTTTTTATGTGGATTCAGAGTGTTTATGTTCTGTACATTTGAAAACAATGATTTACTCGTCTCTTTCGTTTACCATTGCGTTAATTGGTATCATAGTCGTGATTAACCTAGTATGATAACTAATCAACATAGTGGTAACAATACTCCCTATGATGGAGATCATCTGGAAGAGGTTTTTAAGAGAATCGAGCTCTTGGATTTTTAGCAAAGACATGAGCAACATATCCAACAATTCCATAGGATACCCAGCAAGTCTTGTAAGTGTTATGGGCTATGGCTTTGGGTTCAAACTAGGATCTCAATCGAGAGGGTACAAAACAATGGTAGAGTTTATGTTCAACCCCTTTGAGATTCTCGTCTTGTTTATCTAACAAGACAAAATCTTTGTGGTGTACCAGTTTGTGCCTTATCTACCATAGATTCTAGTAATGATGATAACGGGCATTTGCTTAGTAACATTGCTGATTATTTGAATCCCAAACATGAGTCTAAAGATTTTCATATGAAAGTTGATCTGTCCAGTTTTAATGACCATCTTTATATTGATGATTTTCTTGATTGGTTGTTGGAGTGGATAGATTCTTCAACCATATGGATGTTCCAGATGAAGAAAAGATGAAATTGGCGGCTTGCGCCTGGTGAGAACAGATATAATTTACCTGTACTAGACAGGGCAGATATCCAATTTGTGTCTGGTTAAAGATGAAGAGGTTGGTGAGGTGGAGTTCCAACGATTTTCTTCACCTAATAATCTCAATGAAATCAAGTTCCAAAAAATTGCTCGGTTTTATTGGAGGCTTGCGTTTTGCTATTCAGAATAAGGTTTCACTACAGACCTTGTATTCTTTGGCTGAGACCATTCATCTACCCACACGTGTGGAAATCAAGTTAGATAGGGCGAGGACTCAGGTGCAGGGAGTTCTTTTGATTCATCACGACCTATGGTAAATTAAGAAAAATAGATTATGAATACTCTGAACCTTTTTCCAATCCCAAGTCGACAATCTAATAACAACAGGGTAGTTGCAAGGACAGTAGCCTTGGGTTCGGGCTCTATCCCAGTGGTGAATGAAGCACCAAAGGATCTTTATGCTAGACCTGTAGGAGATAAGTGTTATCTATGCAGCCAACCGAGACATTTTAATCAGTGCCCTAAGAGGAGTACAGTAAATCTGGTTGATGCTGAATAGGTGGATTGGAAAGAGAACTACTAGATGGAGGACAGGGATGTCAGTGGACCGAAGCAGAGGCGGAGAGTATAGTCTTCATCCCCGTACCTGCTTAAAAAAATTCCGTCCATTCCCGGTCCACTCCCGTTAATGGGTATAGTTTTCATCCTCATCCCCGTCCGCGGGTAAATTTTTAATCCCCGTCTCCGCTTCCCCCGTACTTGTCTAAGCCCAAACCCAAGTAGCATAATTCAAAATTTTAAATAAATTTAATATTTTAAATAATCCAACAACATTCTAACATAGTCTAACACAACATAATGTAGATTGTAAAATGTAAAAGCCAAAACAATATAGTATTCTATTTAAAGTGTCATTGGACCACAAAAAAAGAAACGGAACTATTAGAGATAAAGGAGAAAAAGGAAAATAAAATTGAACTAAGAAAATGATAGCACTACACTTGAAGTTTTCTAGAAGAATTTTTATTATTACAGTTTATATTATATCCATAAAGTGTTAAAATATGAAAACTTAAAATTTCGCTAATTCAATAATTCTCCCCATTTCGTAGTTCACTCTAGTAGAGAAACTCAACAACCTCTATTCACAATATTTCATGGCCAGTGCTACAGGTCTCTCAGTGGATGAGGAGAAGATTCGAGCTATTCAGGGGTGGCCAACACCACAGACAGTCAGTGAGGTTTGCAGCTTTCATGGCCTTGCAACATTTTATCTATTGTTTGTGAGGAATTTTAGCATTATTGCTGCACCACTTATTGATTGTTTGAAGCAAAAATAGTTACAGTGGACTAGTGATGCAACAAGGAGTTTTCAAATCCTTAAGGAAAAACTCACTACAACTCTTGCATTGACACTACCAAGCTTTGGAAAGCTATTTGAGGTGGATTGTGATGCCTTTTGGGCTAGCATTGGAGTGGTATTATCACAATAGGGCAGACCAGTGGCCTTCTGTGAGAAGCTTAGTGAGGTGAGATAGAAATGGTCTCTCTATGATCAGTAGTTCTATGCAGTTGTTAGAGCTTTCCAATACTGACAACATTATTTAATTCAAAGAAAGTTTATTATGAATACCGACCATCAAGCATTGAAGACTGAAGTGCCTTAATAGTTTAACTACTCTTAATCATATGCATACTCAGTGGGTTGTTGAGATTCAAAAATTCACTTTCACCCTTAATCATAAGTCGGGCCAACTAAATAAGGTGGTTGATGCATTGAGTCACCGTACTATATTGTTGACTATTATTCACTGTGAGGTGATTGGTTTTGACTATTTTGAGGAGTTGTATGCAGGGGATGAGGACTTTCAGCAGATTTGGGCCCTGTTCAGATACACAAGGAGTCTCGAGAGATTTTTAGATTCATGATGTTTTCTTGTTCAAAGCCACTCAACTTTGCATTCTCCGAGGGCTCTTGTGTAAGCATATGATCCGGGAGTTGCACAATGATGGTATAGGAGGACACGTGAGAAGAGATAAGAGTGTTGCCTTGGTGGAGGAACATTATTTTTGGCCCCAACTAAAGACCGATGTGGAGCGGTTCGTCCAACAATGCTACACATGTCAGATTGCCAAGGGACATGCACACAATACAGGCTTTTACATTCGGTGGTGGAGCCAGAAAAATGTACGTTTTATCCTCATCGATAAAAAGAAGATGCCACATTTATACTATTTATTTCATTAATGATCCTTAAAAATTTTATGTATACATGTGTACAAAAAAAAAGAAGATTAATTATAGTCTTTTATTGAAAATGAGGTTAATTGTAGTTAGTTACAATTGACCCAATAAATTTTCATACTTTGATAGATATTGAATTCCCTATTTCCAAGTGTACGATGGAAAAGAAAAGTCATACGAATATTTGGTACTCTTCCCTCATCAATGTGGAGACAGAGTCAGAAGTGAGGCTTTATGTTGATGACTTCATTATTAATGACTAATAAAATTAATTCTAAAACCACATATATGTACACTAAATAATATACCACATATTTTTTTATTTTAAAATTTTGTGAGTAAGGTCACAAATTTTTACTAGGTTTTAAACTCAATACTAAAATGCATATCAATAATAAATGGTCAAGTTCATCAAAAGATTTTAAAACGAATCCAATATATTCAAACTAATCCGAATATGTCCAAAGTGTATCCACTGTTAGTCATTTAGGTGTGAGTGTGTACTACTTGATATGATAAGAAAATAGAGTAATGTTATAGGGACTTAATTTGGGGACCAAATTTAATGTAGCTGTTGAATTAGTTATGTGTTCCAAGGTTAGATGGATTGGAGAATTTTGTGAGTGAAAAGGGATACTCAAACTAAGAGTAGAGCCCCGTATATATAGCCAAATAATAATACAAATTGACCTAAACATCCTTGTGGTCTAGGAAAAATATAAAAGTCATAGGAAGGGTAAAAAAGGGAAAAGAAATCCTAATAAACTAGACTATACTCCAACACTCCCCTTCAAGCTAGGCGCAAAAATATCAACTAAGTCAAGCTTGACAACCGAGTCTCGGAGAATGGATAGAGTGACAGGTTTGGTAAAAACATCCACAACTTGATCACTGGTCCCCACAAACAATGGAGTGACAATATCACAACGAACTTTCTCTCGAAGAAAGTGAATATTAATCTCTATATGCTTCGTTCTCTTGTGTAATATAGAGTCAGAAGCGAGCTGAATAGCAAATCGATTATCACAATATAATATAGATGAAGAAGTCACTGGAAATCCTAACTTGCCAAGAATCGATCGTAGCTAGATAATCGCACATGTGCCAAGCGCCAGTGCCCGATACTCTGCCTCTGCTGACGAACGAGAGACAACTGCCTGTTTCTTGTTCTTTCAAGAGATAAGATGAGTCCCTCGAAAAGCACAGAAACCTATAGTGGATCGACCGTCATATGATCTCCCGTAATCTGAATCTGAATAATAGGCTAGAGAACCAATCTGAGATCCTGATGCATAGAACAACTCAAGTCCAGGACAAGACTTGGGGCACCGAAGAATATGATAAACTGCATCAAGATGAGGCTGACACGGCCTGTGCATGAACTGATTAACTCAGCTGACAGCGAATGAAATGTCTAGCCTAGTGTTGGCTAGATAGATAATTCTACCTTCCAACTTTTGATAGATAGTCGGATCTCTCAATTCCTCACTGTCAGTAGTAAGCTTCAGGTTTGGAATCATGGGTGATGATGCCGGTTTGTACCCCAGAATTCCAGTGTCTGAGAGAAAATCCATGACATACTTTCTCTAAAAAAGAACAATACCCCTACTTTTACAGGCAACCTCAATCCCAAGAAAGTATCGCAAAAATCTAAGGTCCTTCACATCGAAGGACTTTCCAAGGTCTACCTTGACTTGCGTAGTCCCAGAAACATCATCTCTAGTAATAATAATATCATCAACATGTGCCAAAAGGATGACACACTGTCTAGAAGTATTCCGTCGAATGAAGCAGGTATGATCAGAATGATATCTGGTGAACCCTAAACGTACAACTACATCACTAAAGCGAGAGAACCAGACTCATGGTGACTATTTCAGTCCATATAGAGACTTACGCAGTTGACATACCTTTCCAGCATACTCCCCCTCACCACGAAAGCTCGGTGGTGCATCCATATAAATAATCTCGTCCAGATCACTGTGAAGAAATGCATTCTTCACATCCAACTGATAAAAAGCCCAAGAGTTCTCCACAGCCAGAGAAATAATTAATCGAACAGTAGTCAATTTTATCATGGGGGCAAAAGTAGCTCCAAAGTCACGACTTGGTACCTGAGTAAAGTCATTTATGCAAGAA